TTTTTTTTTTTTTTTTTTTTTTTTTTTTTTTTTTTGTAGCAGAGATTGAACTCAGTACTTTGTGCTTGCAAGGCAGGCACACTGCCCCTGAGCTAAATCCCCAGCCCTATACCTATTTTAACAAAGAATATTTCTTCTCTTTGCTTCACATCTCAATATGAGTTCCCATAACTCTCTAATCCATACTGAGCCTTTACTTGTTTATATGTAGCACTACATACACTCATATAACAAAGGACTTAACAGTGGACCCTCAAGTTATGACTGGCCTAGTGCATGAACAGCTTGGGTTATCTATAGTGTATACCCAGGTATACATCCAAATCTCAGCTATATTGACTTACAACCAACTTGAGTGACAACCAGCCCTCGGGAACCAAATGAGTTCATAAGTCAAGGGTCCACTGTATTTATCCTCCAGGGCAGCTGCTAGCAGGAAAGCTTCATGAAGATGGGGACTTTGTCACTACCATATCTCCAGTATCTGAAATTGGTGTTTCAAAAACCAAAACAAACTAAAACAAAACAAAAAGCCGGGCATGGTGTCCCACACCTATAATCCCAGCACTCTGGAGGCTGAGGCAGGAAGATCACCGTGAGTTTGTGACTTGAGGACAGCCTGGCTACATAGTGGCTTCAAGGCCACATTGTACTACAAAGCAAGACACTGTCTCAAAAAAAATCAAACTAAACCAGAACAAAACAGTGTTTCAGGTTCTTAGGGTACTCAATAAATATTTGTTGACTAACCAAATGAATAAAAGTGCAGGCTGTTGGTCTACCACAGTTTTTACTTCCTACCCACCACAAAATCCTAATCTATGAGCAATCAGGTGGGTGGACTTCAGATGCTACCTGGTCTGTGCACCACAAGGAAGCCATGGCTCTCCATTGTTGGCTGGACTGTTGGTGACCTCTCCTCACCTGGCATACAGCAAGAATCATTCCCTGCCACACAGTCTGCTTGGGGCCCACCTGCCAGCTCCTAACCCTTCCCATAGCAAGGAGCCAAATAATAGTTTAAAACCCTTTTAAATGGTTTATTATGTGCCTTGCCCTAGGCCACACTAATTAGAACTCCAATTAGGAAGCAAGAAACTCCTCCAGAACCAGGGCAATCATAACCAGGAAACACCAGTTTTCTTGGAGAGTCTCTCCTGCTATTTCTCTCCTTCTAACCTCAATATGCCTTCCCTCTTTGGTACTGAGAAAGCCCCCCCACCCCATTTTGAGAGAGGATCTCACTATGTCACTAAATTCCCCAGGCTGGGTTTGAATTTATGATCCTCCTGTCTCAGCCTCCCAGAGTGCTGAGGTTGCCGGCATGTGCTACCATGCCCCGATTTGGCCTAGTCTCTTGCTCTTTCACTCTTATTTCCTGCTTGCAAAGGGTTGGCCTTGTATCTCATTACCTACCACCAAAATATATTCCCTAGAGTCAACCACTTTGAGAATCACACCCTCAGTGATTCTTATATTGTTGTAACAAAATATTAGGTGAAATATATAAATATACACATACATACATATATATTTTTTTGTACTGGAGATCAAACGCAGCACCTTGAGCTTACAAGGCAGGCATGGTGCCACTGAGCTACATCCCTGGTCCTGCTGAGTAATATTTAATGACTTGGCTTTTCCAGTAAAAGAAATCAAGTTTTTAATATGGCCCAGATCCCTTGACTTTCCTTTGTCCTGACTGAGAGATAGTCATTATCGAAATGTTATTTGTAGGATACTTTAAACCAGGATCTAGAAAACAATGAGAATGATGTCAATACTTCCCATTTATCCAGTTTTATCTTTCATGCCGTCACTGCTAACTCTAGGAATGAATTAACCCCATTTTCTGACATTTTCATCCTAGGACCAGTGTTGCTAGCTAGACCATCAATGTTATTACTCCACTTCTCTTTACTTCTTTTCAGACACTACAATAAGATCTTCCTTTTCATAACAGCATCTTTAGGAAATTGCTGTTTTCTTTTTACGCACACTGTAAGTACTCCTAAACCTTGTTCATTTTCTTGTAGTCTTAAGTCTCCATCTCATCTTATGACACACACTATTTGGGTTCTAAATCATTGTCCCAAGAGCTAGACCAAAATCCACTTCATCTTCAAAACACATGAGTGAGATTGATCAGAACATAGAAATTTGACAAAGCAGATAAAAACAGGGTGGAGAAATAGTTCTAAGCTGTATCTAAGGAGACCTGGTTCTTCATTTCTGGTCAGCCATGATCATAACATAACTAATATCAAACAACAAATGCTGAAAACAGCAAGCTCCATATGGCACTGGATAAGTTGCTACACCTCTCTTTGCTTCTGTTCTCCCATCTGTCATACAAGAACAATATTGCTTGTTTACTGCTTCCTAAAGGTTTACGGACAAGGAAAGCTTTCCTCGCTAAAAAAAAAAAAAAAAAAAAAAGACAGTGTATTAAGACAGAATTAAAACCCAGGCAAAATAAATTCATTAACAAACATAAAAACCAGGATCTAGGGCCAGTATCAGATGTTAATCACGAATCTAATTAAATAATTCCCTACAGGAGGGATTACTATATAACTAGAAATCTGGGCTAGAACTGTAGCTCTAAAGTAGCTCTGGCATGACCAAATCGTGTGTCAGTACCAAGGGTAGCACTGCAGATTATACAGCAAAGCCCCTTCCCTCCATTTAGAAAGTTTGCTGGATGCTGCAGCCCACGGTAACCATGGCAACAAGGAGCTTAAAGGTATAAATGAATACATTTAAGAACTGCTCCTCCTGATCTCCACACCTTTGGAAAAGTTCTGCTCTTTACCAGGTTAACAACCCATTTGCTTTCATTTCCCATTAGATTTCGTAAGCAGCCTACCCCGCAGCTAGCATTCCAAAGCCCAGAAAGATAAGGCTCTGCACCTGAACTCTGGACCACACCACTATCTCTAGCCGTCAACTTGGGTTAACTCACCTATTTTTCAATTAGCTTCTTCAGCTCACATTCCGGGAGGGATACAAGCCAGAAAGAAGAAAGATGCTTCGTTTGAGTCCAGCTTTCCCTACCTCTTTCCTTTTTGCTTTCCACCTACTTGAAGTTCCCTTTAAAGGTATATGTCATTTTCTGGCCCTTTAAATCCGCCCCCCCCCGCCCGCAGTTCCCTTCAATTTTCCACACTTTCTCCCTCCCTACCTGCAGTTCCCCTGACTTCCCAAGGGGAGTTTCTTACCGACTCTCTGGGAGTCCTTCCTCAGCCCCCACCCTTCCCTCCGCCACAAGAGCCTAGTCTTCTCGCCACTGCGCCTCCCCTCCCCGCCACCTCTCTGCGGCAGCTGACCCTCTCTAGGTTGGCGACCCTCTCTCGCTCCACGTCCAGCCTGAGCCCGGCCTCCCGCCGCCCTGGCCCCCGCGATCCTTCACACCGGCTCTCAGCCCTTCCTTCCCCGTCCTCCCCCCTTATCCTACCCCGGCGCCTGTACACTTACAGAAGGCCGGAGCAGGTGGTGCAGACGAAGCTGCCCACGGTGATATCCACGTAGGTGACCCCGCGCTGGGCGCATTCGAAGCAGTGGCGGTTCCCGGCCTGGCTACAGCCACCCAGCTCCCGCACCCGGCGACACCACACCTCCGAGGCCGCCTCCGCCTCCGCCTTTCCTCCGCCGACCCCACCACCAGGGCCTGGACCCTTTTTGGCTGCCATCACCATCGTGGTCCACACGCTGCGACCTCCTCCCGGCTAAAACATCAACCACTCCTTCAACCACTGCAGCCTTCCCGCCTCCGCCGCCTTCGCACGCCGGGCAACCCTGACAGAGAAGATAGGAAGCCGGGTGCGTCCGCTGCAGACTCAGCCGCCCCTGCTTCGTCTGTCGTGCACGCTGACTGGCTAGCCTTCTCCCACCTCCTCGCTCTGATTGGCCCAACCTGCGACCGCCTCCGGGTGCTGGAGCCGCCAACACCACGCCCCACTGCCTTCAGGCCTCAGGCCTCTCCCATTGGTCAGAAGAGACCTTGGCTGCGCGTGCCTTCTTTTTGTCCCCGCCTCCTCTCGCCACTGTTTCCACTGAGGCCCGCCTCCCAGTTTCGATTGGTGTCTTCTAGGCACTCGAGCTCCTACGCTAATTCTGATTGGCTATCGAGGTTGCAAAGTTAGCGCGCGAGACAGAGGTGGAGTCCTGATCGTGGACTGTTCTGGTCCTACAAGACCAAAGATAATTCCCGCCAAATTTCAAAGACTTGCTCTAGGCTGCGCAGTGATATGCAAAGGAGAAAGGTGACCATCTGAGGGGCTGAGAGTAAGAAAGGAAAGGAGGGAGAAGAGTTCTTTTTAAAGGCCATTTCATTTTTTCTTATCCCAATTCATAGATGGACTCTTCATTTTAGTCAGGTTAAACATGTGCAGCAGATCACACAGCTGGTGCATGGCTGATTGTTGGTTTGAATCTGAGCCTTTTGAATTTAAAAAACCCTGCTTTAAAGCATCCCCCTTGGTGGAATTATTCGTTTGACAAACACTTGCATGGTAGGTTTTGGGCACGTTTTAGACACTGGGAATACGAAAGCAGTGAATTAACCAAAATCCCTGCCCTTGTGGCACTTACATTCGGGGGTGGGGTGGGATTAGAAGCAGACACAAAACAAATGAAAGAATCACCAGTTAGTAATAAATTCTTTATACAGAATTAAAGTAAGATCTTTTAGAAAAAGAATGACTGATTGGATATCTTAGAATGGGTTGGGAACTCATCTCTAACACTGACATTTCAGCTGAGATCCGGATAACAAAAGGAGTCAGTCATGTGGCGATCAGTTGAAGAGCATCCCCGACACTTGGAAAAACCCGCAAAAACCCTAAAGCCCTGCTTCCTGTGTTGAAGCAGCGAGAAAAGAAAGCCAGCATGGTTGGAGGATGGTGAGTGAGGGGGGAAGTGGAGAGGATTTTCTTGGAGTGGGACCCTGTCGTGAAGAACCCTCCAGACTTTGGTAAGGAGTTTGAATTTTCTAAGTGTAATGGGAAGCTATGTAATTAGAACATAGTTTCCAGGTATGATGAAAAGCCCCAAACTGTGTCAGGACCCAAGCTTCTTTGGTTGCGTGGCTGCACAGCACATCCACTCCCAAGTTCACTCCATGTTCTAGTCTGGCTTCAGCCATCACAGTGGTTAAAGTAGCAGGAAAAACCCCGCTGGTATTAAGGACGTGTCTGGAAATTACGCACAACCTCACGGTTCTCACCTCATTGGCTAGAGCTTTGTGATGTGACCACACCTAAGTTCAAAGACTCTGAAAAATATGTTCTTATTCTTGCCTTCTATGTGCTTGCCTAATTTCCAGAGGTTCTATTACTGAGTTAGGAGGAGAGAAGGGATATAAGGATAAAAGCACGGTTTCTGCCACAGAAAAGTTGTAGTAGAGGTAAGACTTGCTATGGTTTTCATTTTTTAAGAAAGATCATTTTGTCCATTGTAGGAGAAATGGTTATGGTAAGATTAGGAGTAGGGATTATGGGTAAGATTAGAAGAAAAAATTTTAGCAGTCCAAGTAGTTAGTGGATAATAGTGGTATCAGCCAGAGTGGTAGAAGGAACTTGGAGAGAAGTGGATTGATCAGGGAATGTTTTGGGGGTAGAATCTTCAGAACTGTTAGTGGATTAGATGTGGGAGGTGACAAAAAGAGGAACTGATGACAGCTTTCTATGATGATGAAAATGTTCTGTCTGACTTCCAGTAGCTGCATGTTGCTGTTAGAGACTTGAAATGTAGCGAAACACTAATAGCTTTCTATGATGATGAAAATGTTCTGTCTGACTTCCAGTAGCTGCATGTTGCTGTTAGAGACTTGAAATGTAGCTAGAAAAACTAAGAGACTGAATTATTATTATTATTATTATTATTATTATTATTCTGAGGATTGAACCCAGGGCCTCACACGTGCTAGGCAAATGTTCTATCTCTGAGCTATGTCCCCAGCCCTATTTAATTAAAATTAAAATTTAGGTAACCACATATCATTAATGGTTACCATATTGGAGAGGGGAGCTCTAGATTCTTGTTTTGAGCAACTGAGTGGCTCATGATGCCATTTATGGAGAAAGGTTAGACTGAAGAAAGAGCATTTTAGGGGTTGTTGGTAGGAATTAGTGTTGCTTGGGCCTGTTAATTTGAGATCCTTGTGAGTCCTCCAATGGGCTGAGCAAGTGGGTGGGTAGATGTATAGTTTGGATTTCCAGATGAAACTGGAACTGGAAATTGAGGTTTGAAAGTCATCAACATACCAGAGTTATGTAGCCCTGTGAGAGGCTGCTTGGGTGCAGCACGTAGACAGAGTATAGAAGGGAGCCGAGAAGTGAGCCCTGGATGTCCACCTCTTCAGTTACCACAGCCACAAATGTGCCTAAAAGTAGGCAACACCAAGTCATATTTAGACCCGCAGAAGGGGCACTCAGCCTGCTTTCAACGTTTCTCCTGAACTTTTTCAGAGTTTACAGTTTCCAAGTGTTCCCGCTCCTCTTCTAGTTTCTCATGAACCAAGGGTTATTTCTTCCCATCTTAAAACCTTAAGCAGATTGGTAAATTGTGCTAGGACCAACAGTGAGTGAAGAAAAAAATTAGAACATTTGCTAGATTCTGAGAGTTTTCCGTTACTTTTGGCACTGGGTATGATCTATGAGGGCAACCAAAGTCATCCTCCTCCCATCTCTACTCCACCCAGGCCGTATCAGGAAGTTACAACTCTATTTCCTCTTCATAATCAAGGGGAACACAGACAGCATGGGGACACCCTTTCTGCCATTACCCTAGTGGTGAGAGGGGTCCCAAATGAGGAGTTCCTGGGGGCAGTTAGGTCCACAGAGCCTGAGGAATGGGGCAGGATGGAAAACAAATATCTTTAAAGAGAACAGTAACCGAGAGAGCTGCCACCCTCCACCCCAGCCCTTGCTTCCTGGACTTCTGTCCTAGCTGAGGAAGAATTGGCTTTTCATTTCCGTCACTGTTGGGATCACCCATCGCTGTCTGCAAGAAAGTGTCCCAGCTTTGCAGGTGTGGTCTCCCGGCCTCTGTGAGATCAGTTTTCCTGAGACCTTTTCATTGTTCTATGAGGCCGGCTGCTTCTGTTGGATAGGAAACATGATAATGGCCATAGCCGGCCAACTGTCTTCTTTATTTCACTGAGAAGGGAGTTTCTTCAGTAGAGAAACTCCAACCTGGACCACCCTGTGTTATGAGAAGATGATAATTCCAGGGATGATGAAATAGTCCACTTGCAGGGAAGGAAAACCCAAATATAGAATAATTGTTTCTTCCAGAGTCTGTAAATCACCTCATGCTCTATAACAGAAGGGACCTGATAGAGCTGACCAGTCACTGAAACTCTCTCTCTCCCTCCCCACACCTTCCATCTTTCTGTACTTCTGGGGACTAAACCCAGGGCCTTTGTGCTTAGTTACAACTTCACCCTTTTTATATTTTAAGACAGATTTTCATCAAGTCACTAAATTCGCCAAGTTGGGCTTGAACTTGTGATCCTCCTGCCTCAGCCTCTCAGAGTGCTGGGATTACAGGTGTGCACCACCATGCCCAGCTTGCTGCTGGATTTCTGACAAGTTCTCAAGAAGCCTGATGATCTATTAACTCTCAGAATGATATCCATTGAATTTATTTATTACTCATAATACTTTTTAAAAGTTGATTTTCTTCATATTCCAAGTAGAGATCATATTATCTTCAAATAATGATATTTTTAACTTTTTTGATTTTTTTCTATATCCAATTAGTTTGTCTAATTAAGTTGTTTGAACATGAGAACAAGTGAAATAACAGTGGGTATCTTTTTTCATTATTTTCCCAGCTCAATGCTGACTTTTGGGTTAAACTAAATATATTTTTATCATATAAAAGAAGCATCCACTTACTCCCAGGTTATTTATTAGTTCTGGTTTTCTTTATGGTTTCTCAACTATTTTCTGATTGAATCTGTTTTCTCTCTCTCTCTCCCTCTCTCTCTATCTCTGGTACTGGAGATCAAACTTACAAGGCAGGCATGGTGCCACTGAGCTAAATTTCCAGCAAGAGTTTTTATTTTTAAAAAAGCAAACAATAAAAATGTTTAGGTGATAGGGGCATCATTTCCCCTTAGTTTTAACATTAATGTTCAGTTGTATAACATAGTGATCAGAGAAGACTGGGTGGTGGTACACAGCTGTAATCCCAGCACTCAGGAAGCTGAGGCAGGAGGATCACTGTGATTTTGAGGCCAGCCTGAGTTACAAAGTGAGTTCAAGGCCAGCCTGAACTTCATACTGAAATCCTGTCTCAAAAAAACAAAAAAGGGGCCAGGGATGTAGCTCAGTGGTACAATGTCCACCTAGCAAGCACAAGGCCCTGAGTTTGATTCTGGGTACAAAAAAAATCAACATCGTGCTAGAGAATGATGTATGCACTGGTTCTCCCTTTTAAAATGTAATGAATGAGGCTTTATTTGTAGCTTAGTACACAGTTTACTTTTGTGAATTTTGTCTGGGTACCTGAAACTGAAGTGTATTTGATATCTTCTCTACCTTATTGATTACGCCCCTGAAATCCCCCAGATCCTCACTTCTTTATAGAGCTTTCCATAGTGTGAAGCACCTTTTCCATCTTGCTGCCCTGGAGAGCGGGCAGTGCCTTGCCTGTTTGACGTCATTTGGCTCTCACCATCTTCCCCCTTTCTGATCCTAGCAAGGTACCGTATAGGAAGCTTCTGTTGTTACTCTGCCTCAGTTCTCCCTCTCTCGGACACCTACAACAGACCCCGAGGTTGCTTTTGCACTTTGTGGTGTGCCCTTTACCCTTGGGAATGCATTTCTCTAGCCCTTTCTGAGATCTGAGGCAGTTGTGACTTGCCTCTTCCGCCCACAAGCAATTCTGGGAGAAACTCCCCAGACTTGGGCATCGCTTCCACCTGAGGTGGGCTTTGAAGTTTGAGATCGCTCATTGTTTTGCTGAACATTGGAATTTGGACTTTTGTTTCTTATTCTCCCTATTGCTCTTGGGTGGTTTCCAAAAAGGTAAAGGGGAAAATGCTGCTTTGCACTTCCATCTTCAAAATGGAACTTTCCATGCTCTTTTGCCAGGAGACTGTTTAGGCAGCTCACTTCCGGGCACTGTCATCAGACTACCCGGAGCCTCTGTTACTCTTAGGAGGCCCTGCCCCATTCAGTCAGGGGCCTAAACTGAGGATGGGAGCAAAGAAGCAGAGGCAGACATGCTAGACAGGGGACAATAAAGGTATATACAAAGGCTTAAACAACTTGCACCAGTGGCCTTGATATCCCTTCAAAGTCTGGATTCGACTTAATAACGGAAGCTTCTGGGCTGCACAATTTTGAAGTGAGATGGATTAAACAATGCTCAGTTCAGATTTCATGGTAACTTTTTCTACTGGATATTTATACCAAACTTCAAAAGCAAGCTAGGAAGTATTTCTCAAAAGGAGAATCCTTATCTGCTGAAATAGGGTCTTACTTCAACACCCCAGAGGTGTCTGCCAGGAGCCCTGGCTGGGAGTATGGAAGGCTCAGTGAGCGAGACTCTTCCGGTGCCATTGGTTTATTAAGGCTGTTGGGCATCTTGCTCTAAAGCCTAGGGTCAGGGATTTAGCTCAGTGGTGCCACCACCTGCCTCGCAAGTACAAGCTCCCCAGTACAAAAAAAAAAAAAAAAAAAAAAAAAAAACCAAACAAATAAAGCCTAGACTTCAAATTTTCCTTTTCTTCTTCTCCCCACTGAAATGGATTTTTTTTTTTTAAGCCAACCAGTGGACTCCTAACTAAGGGCTGTTTTCTGCAAGTTGGCCATGAGATCTTCCATGCCTTCAGCTTCTTCTAAGGACATTGGGTTAGTCTGTTTTCGATTGCCATAACAAAATACTCAAGGCTGGGTAATGTATAAAGGAAAGAAATTTCTTTAGCTCACAGTTTTGTTGTTGTACCGAGATCAAACTCGGGCCCTTGCACTTGTGAGGCAGGCAGCAGAACCACTGAGCCGAATCCCTGGCCCAAGCTCACAGTTTTGGAGGCTCAGAGGCATGGCATCATTATCACCTCTGCTCCGGTGAGGACCTTGTGGCATACCGTAGGACAGGAGTAGGGGCCCATGCAGGAGGGGGAGGTCACATGGTGAGACGGGGAGCCACATGGCAGGGAAGGGCCAGTCTTGCTCTTATTATATCTGTCTCAAAAGAACGAATCAGGGCTATACAAGTACTTCTGCAGTCCCTTCCTAAGGCAGTGCCCGTGACCCCAAAACCTCATGCTAAACCCTGTCTTTTAAAGGTCCCACTGCCTCCTAACATTAGGGACTAGGCTTTAACTCATGAACTCTGGGAGGGCAACCACTCTGAATCACAACAGAAGTCAGGCTATTTTCCCATGTTTAAATGGGTGGCCCACTGTCACAGCAGAGTTTTATACCAAGTGTCTCTGGCCATACCTGGTTAGAAGGTGGGAAGGTCCTAGGACAGGCAAATCATAGGAAGGCCCATGTTCTTTCAAGTTGGTTGATATACAGAGATAGGCAAAAGGACTTCAGCTTCTGCCCATGATAGAATAATAGGGACTATATTTTTCTTTCTTTCTTTCTTTCTTTCTTTCTTTCTTTCTTTCTTTCTTTCTTTCATTTTATTGGTACATTTAAGGTATATACAATGTAATGACATTCATCATTGGAAATTTGCACCTTTACATAGTCCGTCTTAGTTCTCCTCTTTTTCTCTTTGAGACAAGGTCTTGATGTGTAGCCTAAGCTGGTCTCGTAAAGTGGTGATCCTCCTTCCTCAGCTTCCCCAGTGCTGGGACTCCACCACCACACTTGGCTAGACCTTCTCAGTTTATTTATTTATTTGGTACTGGGGATCAAACACGGGGCCTTGCGCTTGCAAGGCAGACAGCGGAACCACTGAGCTAAATCCCCAGCCCAGACCTTCTCATTTTAAATGATTAAAAAATAGACACAGTATATGAAACAATTGTTTCCAGGCCGTGGACAATGGGCATCGCAGGATATCAAACTCAGGACTTTGTTTTTGTGAGGCAGGCGGTGGCACCACTGAGCTACCTCCCTAGTCCACAGACAATGATTCTTGAGAAAAAGGGAAAGAATGAGATTAGCTCTGTCATCGCCCCAGTTTACTACCTGGAGAGAGTCCTCAGTTTGCAGTGCAAGGAGGAGTCACCCACACAGGGCCACGGGTGTCCTGAGTTCAGAAGTCAGAGCTAAAAATTCACAAAGACTGAAGCCAGGTGTGGTGGCACACACCTGTAGTCCTGGCACTCAGGAGGCTGAGGCAGGTGGATTGCCATGAGTTCAAAGCCAGCCTGGGATACATTCTGATTTTGGGGCCAGCCTGAACAACATGGGGAGATCCTGTCTCAAAAAGAAAAGACAAGAAAAGAAAGACAGTAGATTCACACAAAACTTGGTTGAATATCTATACATGAACAATCAGAAAAAATATAAAATTAATTCCACTCAAGAAGCTTTAAGAAGAATAAAATGTTTACACATTGATCAAGGAGGTGGAAGACTTGTATAATGAAAACTAAAAGACACTGCTGAAAGAAGCTGAATGTGGTGGGGCATGTCTGTAGTCCCAGCTATTCTGTATGTTGAAGCAGGAGAATCCCAAGTTTGAGGCCAGCCTGGGCAACTTAGTGAGATTTTTATCTCAAAATTTTAAAAGAACATGAAAGGGGCAGGGGAGGTAGTTCAGTGCTGGAGTGCTTGGCAAGTACGTGTGAGAACCTCAGTTCAAATCTCAGTTCCACAACAAAGGTTGAGAAGGAGGATTGGGGGAATAGATTATAACAACCACATAGGTAAATAGAGACCGATGGCATGTTCATGGATTGGAAGATTTAAGAGGCCATTGCTAAGATGCCAAGCCTAGCCAAAGGAGCTACAGATTTAGTGGAATCTCTCTCAAAATTCTAATGATGCTTTTTTTTTTTTTTTTGCAGAAATAGGAAAGTCCAACCTAAAATTCATAAGAACTCTCAAAGGGTGCAAAATAGCCTAAAGAATCTTAAAAATGAACAAAGATGGAGGATTCATACTTTGTTGGTTTTTTCCCAAAACTTACTACAAAACTACAGAAATCAAAACGGCACGGTACTAGGGTGAAGCCAAATATATGGACTGATAATAAAGCCGGGAAGTAAACCCTTTTATATATGGTCAAATGATTATTAATAAGGATACCAAGACCATGTGATGGGAAATGAACAGTTTTTTCAACAAATGGTGGTGGGGAAACTAGATACTCATGTACGAAGGAATGAGGTTGAACCCTTACCTACATCATATACAAAAATGAACTCCAAATGGATTAGTATCTTTTTTTTTTTTTTTTGGAGACAGGGTCTTGCTATATAGCTCAGGCTGGCCTCAAACTCATATCAATCCTTCTGCCTCAGCCTCCTGAGTTCTGGGATTACAGGTGTGGCACTAAGCCAATTTTAAAGGAGCCTTGAGTAAGCCAGTGCCTTTGGAATTCTCTGGGGGCTCTGCAGATAGTGAGAGACAGCTGAGTTGCTGTGTGTCAGTATGTGGATGGCTTGAAAACATGCGAAGTATCAAATATGCTAGGAAGTCAAATACAGAGGGTCACATTCGTATGATTTCATTTATATGAAACTTCCAGAATAACAAATCCACAGAGACAGAAGCATATTGGTAGTTGCTGGGATAGGGGAGAGGAGACTGAGGAGTGGATGCTAAATGTCTAAGGGGAGTTCTTTGAGGTACCAGAAATGTCTGGCAGCTAGAGTGGTAGCAGTTATTCAACACTGTGAATTCGCTGGGTGCCACTGAAGTGTGCCCTTTAAAATGCCTAGTTTATGATGTGTGAGTTTCTCTGGAGTCTTTTAAGAAGGCATAGGCCACTAGGTTCCCTCCTTACTTAACAGCTGCAGGTAGGGCTCCCCCCCATTTCCTCCCTGAATAAGACTGGAGGGTTTCTGCCTCAAGGAGGCAAAACAGAGTTTGTGGACTGTGAGATACAAGCCCAGCGGAGGATGAGAATACCTTACTGGGAATTTAATGGAAGCTTGTGCACCAAATATTGTGATTTCCAGCCTACCCCTAGTTCTCAGATACTGGTAGCTATGTGTGTCTATATCCTTAAGAAGGATTTTAGAAATGATTTTGCCAGGAAATATGACCAACCAATAGACCAAATTTAAAGATATTGGCTGAGCCAGGTGTGGTAGCACATACCTGTCATCTCAGCATTCTGGGAGGCTGAGGCAGGAGGATTGTAAGTTCAAGTCCAGCCCAGAAAATTTAGTGACAAAGACCCTGTTTTAAAATTTTGAAAAAGTGGGGGAGGGGATGTAGCTCAGTGCAAAGGCCCAGGTTCAATCACCAGGAATTACAAATAAAAACTAAAGAGAGACCCTGGCTTTGGACTTTCTCATGGGAAGGATTCAGCTGGCTCACCCCATGGAGAACCCCACAGATGCATAGCTCTATCCAGGCACAAAGCTGCCATTCAATATTTTGGGTTCATTCAAGTGCCCACCTAAGGATCACAAGCATTTCTTAGAAGAACCTATTCTTCGAAGGGCAGAGATCAAAACAAATAAACAGAAGCAACTTGGAAGAAACAACATAGAGAAAAAATTTTACCAATGAAGTTTTTTACATGGCTCTTAATGGAGGTGATAAAGAGAAACAGAAAAATGCTTTCATCAAATCACTGACAGCATAGCAAGTGCCCACTTAATTAAACTTGAGGTAATCCTGTTATTTTTTTAAACCGTCAATTGGTACCAATCAGCCTAGAAAAATGGATGATTTGGATCAGCCTTCCTCTAAGCTCCTGATCCTCCTCTTCTTTTACTGTATTTTATTTATTTATTTATTTATTTTGTACTGGGGATCAAACTCAGGTCCGTGCACTCACAAGGCAGGTGGCAGAACCAGTAAGCCAAATCCCAGGCATCTCTTCTTTTGTTTTCTGAGATAGGATCATCTCACTGTGTGCAGTAATTCAGGCTGGCTTTGAACTTTTGGTGATCCCCCTGCCTCAGCCTCCCAGGTGCTGGAATTACAGGCCTGCACTACCACACCCAGCCTGATCTCTTCTCTTTAAGAGGCTAGAAATGGACTCAGGGCCGCTTATAGTCAGACACAGTGAGTACAGGTGCTGTGCTGGTTTGGGTTAGATCTCCATTTACTTAAGCAAGGAATTATTTTGCTGTACAAATCAAGCAGAACCCAGGCGTGCCCATCTGTTTAGTTCCTGCCAACACTTCACCCAGAAGCCAAAACCTCAACTCAGTGTTAGGCTGTTTCTTGCAATCGATTTGCCACACCTACACTGGGCTTTGGGCTTTTTTTTTTTTGTGTGTGGCCACAGCTAGGAGTGATATTCGAAATAGTTAGCAGCTGTTCCCACATGGCCACAAGCCAATGAGAATAGACACCTGACTTCAGCACAAAGTCAAGTTCCTGGAGGTCGGTTAACCTTGTAGTTGCTGAGTAAGAGAGCGATCTGGTACCCCTGGGGGCAGGTGGGTGGAGGAGGGGCAGTAGGAGGCATTTAGCAGCAGTTTACCAGCTGCTAGGACAGCCTTTCAGTATTGGAGCGACCACTGTGGCCCCTGTAGAATGTCGGTCTGGCCGCAGCAAGCGACAGCTGGGAGGGTCCCCTCACTTCGGTTGTTACACCTGACTGCTCTTGGGCCTCAGCACCTAGATTCCATCTTTGTGAGTGTAAGCAGAAATTCCATTCTGGTTAGCTACCTTCCTTCTGTCCTAAATGGGACAACTCCCCTCTGTCCTCCCCTCCAATGGGGTTTCATTAATTAGTCTTTCATCATTGGTAAAATTTTCTGTGTCCTAAGTAACAGGAACATGTTAGAGGTGCGAGTTGGGAGGCAGCAGTTTGCTGGTTATTGGTGGCGGAAGTCATTCCTCTTCTGTCCTGGTATTTGTTCAGCTAGGATTTTCCCAGAGATAACAGCCTCTTTGGTGTCAGCTGGACAAAGACGTATAATCAGCTGGGCGTAGTAGCACACTCTGAAATCCCAGCACTTTGGGAGGCTGAGGCAGGAGGATTACAAGTTCAAGGCTAGCCTGGGCAACTTTGCAAGTTAGCAAGACATGTCTCAAAAACAAAAACAAAAATAAATGTAAATGGCTAGGGATGTAGCTCAGTGCAAAGGCCCTGAGTTCAATCTCCAGTATTACCAGGAAAAAAAAAAATATATATATATATATATATACAACCATTAATCTGTGTACAGAAAGAGAAGGAAAATGAGAGGAAGAGGCAGAGTGGGAGAAACAGAGACAGAAAGGAATAGAGGGAGTAAAGAGGAAGGAAGGAAAGAAACATTCTATCTTCCTTAATGTATTTTGTCCTCCTCACAAACCCACAGGATTCAAATCTACATAGTTAATCCTCCAAAAATTCCCTAGAAAATGTTGCCTATAATTCCACTTTCCCCTGCTTGGAATTTGTACATTATCCTTGGTTTCATAGGATTTCCAGACTTCTGTGACCAGATGTTCCTCATTAGGAAGTGACTCATCACATTTGCTTGGCAATCGTGAATGCAGTAGAAATTACTTGGAGGGGCTGGGGGGACTGGGGAACCCCATCCCCTCGAGATACTGCTGTTCTGAGTGCCAGGATTTCGGGCTGATAATTAAGACCTTAATTTTAACCACAGAAACTCGGCACAGTTGTGAATTTAGTAAATGCTATAATTTGGCAACTAACGGCATCATTATTTTATTATAAACTATTTGGCTGAAAAATGTTATAATATACTCGAAAAAGATATAAAGAATATATATTACACATGTTAATTGTGATGCATATAATCAAAGAATGCTGGTAAACCTACTCCTTAACTTAAGAAGTAGAATGTAATCGGTATTCACTTTGGGGAATCTAATTTTCATTAGTTTCCAAGCACTGGCTGATAGTAAAAATGTGTTTTTTTGTTAGAGGCCTACAGAGTAGTCTTGAATATTGTTATCTCATTTTACTCAGGCATACTGGAGCTAAAATTTGTCCTTGCTTGATGCAATTCACATAATCCTCTGAAAAATGTTCATCCAACCCAGTCTTTATACTCCTTATTCCCTTAGAACATCTTCCAGCAGTGGTTCTCAACTTTGGTGTATGTTAGGATCAACTGAGAAGACCTGAATAACCATCACATGTGGGCCCTGCCCCAGCACAATTAAATCAGGATCTCTGAGGATGCAACTCAGGCCTCCATACTTTTTTTTTTTTTTGGTACCAGGGATTGTACTTGGGACCTTGTGCTTGCAAAGCAGGTGGTGGAACCACTGAGCTGAAATCCCGGCCCTTGGCCTCCATACTTTTTAAAGTTGTTTGGGTACAGTATTTTTAATGTGCTCAAAAGGAGCATCAAGAGGGCTAGAGATTTAGCTCAGTAGTTCCACTGCCTGTTTTGTAAGTGCAAAGTACCAAGTTCGATCCCTGGTACCAAAAGAAAAAAAAAAAAAAAAAAAAAAAAAAAAAAAAAAAAAAAAAAACAAACCCAAAAAACAAAAGGAGCAGCAAGAGTCTGCCAAAGCTTTACCTTTTATGGATGCAGTATCTGAAAACCAAGACTTCATTAGGTGTTTAGCAATCCAGGGACTAGCTTCCCATGCAGGATGGAATGATTGTTTCTGCCTTCCTCTCCACTGCATTAGTACAAAGTTACACACACACACACACACACACACACGTGGATAGCTCTAAGAAAGTGTGTGTGTGTACTGTAAGGACATGAGTGGGTTGGAACTGGAAATGTCTTCCCAATCTGAGGTTGGGCAGGGAAGTGGTCATTGTCCCTTCCCGCTTTCATGGCCCACACAACCTCTCACATGGCATCTTCTGCTGTTGTCCCTCCTCTAAGCAGTGAAGATGGCTCAGAACATCTCCCTTAGGAACCCCTAGTCCAGTCCATCTGTAGCTAGGGTCCAATTAAGATTTACTCACAGCTCAAGTCTGAGAATACAAAAGGATAGAAACAGTTACCATCCAAACGGAAGTGAGAAAGATGGAGGCCATACCAGTATGGAACAAAATAGACTTTCAAACAAATTAAGAAAAAGCTTCTAGAGATAAAAAGGGATGTTTTATAACAATGAAAGGACCAATTCATCAGGAAGATAT